GGGTGATAAGGTGAAGAGAATATGTGCTTAATCAAGAACTTTTCACACAATATTCTAACAACTTCACTGATAAAATTTTTTGCATTGTCTGAAAGAATTATTTTAGGTACTCCATATTGGCACACAATTTCTTCGAAAGTAAATCTAGCAAGTGTTTCGGCACTAGCATCTGGTATAGCTTTAGCTTCTGGCCAGCAAGTGAGGTAGTCAGTAGCAATAATAATATAATGGTTGCCTTGGGTAGTAATAGGGAGAAGTCCTACTAGGTCTATACCAATTTGTTTAAAGGCTCTTCCTACTTGTATAGGATGGAGAGGTTCTTTTCGTCTACCTTTTTCGTGTTTCTGGCAGGTTTCGCATGACTGTACATAGCTTCTGATATCTCGATACATTTGGTCCCAATAGTATCATTTGGATATTTTATAATACATAGCATCAGTTTCTAAATGTCCGGCAGTGGGATGACTATGCATCATGTAGAGAATAGGTCCAACTTTGGTCTATTTTATCACTCATATAGGTTTGGTAGGGTCTTTCTGGTTTTTCTTATAGAGTAATTTATTTTTAAGTTCATAATATCTAGGTTGTTTAATAATTGTCTTTTGTTTATGGTCAGTAAGTTCAGGAGGTAATGTGTCTGATTCTAAATATTCTACTAAGTTTTGATACTGGTCTAAATTCATATAGCAGAGGTTGAAGAAGAAGAATATGTCTGGATTGGTAGTCTTGAGAGGACATCAACATTAGAATGGATTCGTCTGGGTTTATATACAATAGTAAAATTGTAAGGTTGTAGCTTCATCATTCATCGACCTAAGCGTCCTTTAGGTTGTGAAGATTTTAACCATTTAAGAGCAGAGTGGTCGGTAACTAGAGTAAAGTGGTTTGTACCAAAATATTTATGGAAGTGTTTAATGGCCCATACTATAGCAGCATATTCTAATTCTGTGGCTCTATAATTAACTTCTTCTTTCTTTAAACTTTTGCTAGTATATGCAATAGGGTGTTCCTTGTAGTCGTCAGATATTTGGCTTAAGGTGGCTCCAAATCCTGTATAGGAAGCATCAGTTGCTAAGATGAATTCTTGTTTATAATTCAGATAGACAAGAATAGGGGCAGTGATGAGTCATTGTTTTAATTCATCAAAAGCTTTTTGATGTTGAGGGGTCTATTCGTAAGGACAGTCATTATGCAGTAGTTGGTTAAGAGGATGGGCAATGGAAGAGAAGTTTTTAATAAATCTTCTATAATATCTGGCAAGGCCTAAGAAGGATCGGACTTGCGTAGTGTTTTGGGGAGGCTGAATATTTTGTACAGCGAGAGTTTTGGCTGGGTCTGGAGAGATTCCTTTTGCTTCTAAAATATGTTCTAAGAAAAGTAATCGTTTTATTCAAAAGATATACTTATTAAGATTAAGTTTCAATTCAGCTTTTCTGATTCTAGTAAATACTTCACGTAAATGTTTAATATGGTCCTCAAAGGTCTGTGAGAACACATTAGTATCATCTAGATAAACTACTACGTATTTATAAGCAATGTTCTTGTAAACTTGATTCATTAAATGTTGGAAAGTTGCAGGAGTATTATACAATCCAAACAGCATCACGTTGAACTCATAGGTACCATATCTTGTAATGAAAGCAGTTTTCTCTCTATCATCTGGGTGAACTTTAACTTGCCAATATCCACTCATAAGGTCTAAAGTAGAGAAATACTTAGCTCTGGCTAGAAAATCTAGCATTTCATCAATCCTGGGTAAAGGGTATTGATCTTTCTTTGTGATAGCATTTAGTTTACGATAGTTGACACAAAATCTTTTCTTTCTATTTTTCTTGGTGACAAGCACAACAAGAGAGGTTCATGGGCTAGAGAATTCTCAGATTAATTCATTATCCAATATTCGTTGTACTTCTTCGTTAATAAAGGTTTGTTCTGTAAGAGGTACCATGTAGGGTCTAGAACTTATAGGAGGTACATCTTCGGTGAATATTCGATGAGTTACTAGGTCTGTTTTTCCAAGTTGAGACATATCTTTTGCAAAGAGATCAGAGAATTCCATGAGTAACTGGTGGAATTGGGCTCCTTGGTCTGGGTCCAAAGGTTCTATTTTTGGTGCGATTTTGGTAGTGTAAATTTTATAGACTTGTCTGTTTCTATTATTTTCTGTATCTTCAAGTAGTTTTTGATCTTGCTTAGGATAGTTTAAAAATTTCCGGTCTCTTCAACAGAGTCTTGGGAGAAGAGAGATTTATTGTAAAGGTTCTTTATTTGATAGTGGAACTGTTCGAATTTATTAACCTTGGTCTGTAACATGGCAATAGTTTGGGCTTGCTGTTCAGAGGCTTGAACTTGTTTTTGCAAATAATTAATTATTTGAGCTTGTTGTTGAACTTGCTCTTGTAGCAAATTAATTATTTCTTGTTAGTTAGGTTGTGGTAGTGGAAGTTCAAGTGCTGATTCTGGCCATTGAGAGTGAGCTTCATTATAATATTCCTGGCAGCAGTTCCCAAATTGTTCAAGTTCAGTTCTGGATTTAGCTATAAGGCAATCATTACAGAGTGCTACAGTTCCTTGGAAATTTCTTTGCAAGTTTTCCATGGCTTTTCGTTGGTCGAAATCTGGATGGCTGATATCAAAAGACTCAGCTAAAATTCTTTGTAATTCTGTTTCTTCAGTTTCGCTTAATTAAACTTGTGAGGCTCTCATTATGATATTAACATCTTCATAGGTATAGTCTTGGTTGGAGCGATCATTAGCAAGAGGTTTGAGAGCATGGACGAGACGTTCAGTACTTTCGCCTAATTGGATTATGGCTAGTCAGAAGATACGGCTCTGATTGAGGTCATAAGCATGTTCAGCATTTCGGGTAGACTCAGTATAATGTTGAACTCGAGTCCACAGATTAAGATTAGAGTTCCATTCTATATCACTAGCAGCCTTGTAAGCATACAAGTGTTCTAAGTTACAAAACCAGGAGTCTTTTTGAATAGTGTCAAGTTTGTACATTCTGGATCTAATGCATTCTTCTTTGCAGAGTTTACATTGAATAAAAGTTCCTTTGCCATCACCGTTGGTGAAGTATTCTATGCTTCGAGAGTTATTTCTATCAAGCTCTTGGTGGAAATGAGTCCAACAAACTTTACAAACTAAAGTTTGTTCCAACATTTTAATGTCTTCGGGTTTTTGAGATACTTTATATTTGCAGCAACGGTTGACTCAGTGAGGAGAGTAATGGTATAGTCGATGGCTTTCAACTTCACTTGGAGAGCATCCACATACATATCGTTAGTTTTTCAAAATAGAGGTATTTTGAGGACAGTTTATTCCAATATAACAATACTGGTTGCATTGGTAGCATTGGTTTTCTGGGCAGTCCTTGTAGAAGTGGCCTGGCTGAGAACAGGTCCTACATATAGATCGTTTAGGAGCTTGCTTGGAACAATACACGGCAAGGTGGCCATATCGATTGCACCTAAAACATCGATTATTTGGGCAGTAAGCAAAAAGGTGAGCAGTAGAAGAGCAATTCCTACATCCTTGGTTGGCGTTGGAGTAGAGTCTGGATCTAGAAATAGAAGCAACAGGTCAGCTTTCTTCAATCATGTAAGCTTCTCGAGAATTTAAATATTCTTGTTCAAATTGTTGTAATTCTTTTTCATCAGTCACAGTAGGTTGAGCAGGTAGAGGTTAGTTATACTCATAAGTAGTTGGGACATGGATCTTTTTCTTGTTCCATTTAAGAGTATAGGCTTTATTTTTCCAATTGTAGCTGGCTTCAACTTTTTGTGACCAGTCATTATTTAAGAGTAATGAGTAGGAGGTAATGTTCATTACTTCTATGTCAAGAGAGATAGTTACACCTTCAATTTCTACAGGAAGATTTTTAATAATTCCCAAAGGTCGAGTGGAGGATCCAGCAGCAGATAGAATAAGACTAGTAGAGGGAGCTTCTATTTTTAGTCCTAATTCCTTTATAGTTTGATGAGAGATTATGCTAATAGCAGCACCACTATCTATTATGGCTTAGTAAGGTTTTCCTTTAAGTTTAATATTGCATTTTACAGGAGTGGTATAAGAAGGAGTTTGTGTTTTGTTTTTAGCTTCCTTAGCTAAATATCCAGCTAATGCTTCTCGAATAGATTCATTAGCTAAAAAGTTTTCAAACTGTTTGAAGGTATAGTCATTTGTAGTGTCCACAATATATGCATCATGGGGATAAGGAGTAAAAGAGCAGCTTCTGGATCAGTTATTAGATCGATAGTCCCTATCATTCCTAGATCTATTTCTAGATTCACTCTGGCTTCTAGAACAATCATATCTAGAATGGTTGGAATTTCGGTCTCTGGATCTATTTCTGTCACGGGAGCGCAACGGTTATAGGATCAGTTATCCCTAGAAGAGTAGTTACTACTTCGGTCACGAGAGTAATCACAGGAGTTTCTTTTTTTATTGTCTTTTCTGATGCAGCAATCTCTAATAAAATGTCCTTTATTACCGCAGTAGTAACACACTATGCTATTATTACTTTGTCGAGAAAAATTTTTATCTGAATAATAAACAGAAGTAGAAGAAGGAGAAGGTGTAGTTTGTTTTTCAACAAGATTAACATTTAATTTAGCTATTTGCTCAGTTAAACGTTTAATAGCTTTGTTAGTATCAT